TTTTCTGAAGAATCTTGAATGGTTCTTAATCTTGCCAAACTAACCCTGATGCTAAGGTGTTCAGGGTGGTTTGTAGTGCTTAGCTATATGTTGTTGCTTACTGCGTGAATGAAAAAAAACCAGCTCTATCACAAGTCTCTGCGATTTTCACGGTTCAACGCAAGTCTTTTGGAAATTTGTCAGAAAATAATTGGAATGCTAGTAACAAGCTGTGTAATCTTTAGTAAATATTTTGGGGCAGTTTTGGCTTAAAATGCATAGTGCAAAAGTGTGCATTTATTTTGTATTTATTTTTTATTATTCCTATTTTTGCCTGTTTATTTTTTTATTTATTTTTGGATAATATGTTTTCTAATTTAAAACTAATTTAATGTGAAAAAAAAAAGTATATAAAATTTAAGGCACAGATTTGGCAACGCTTTGCTTGAAATAACACTTCAAAAAGTTTTTGAGTTGTTTGAGTATTTGTTGTGAATTTGTCATTTCTGTCCTTTCCAAAATGCCCACATTTGTTCTGTCATTCTATTAGTTTTTTTAGATCATTTTAATTTTGTTTTATAACAAAGATCTGAATCAAATTCATATAGTCAATTTATCACTGATTTGGTCTTTGTTTCTAAAGTTGATGCTCTTGTAGAGATTTCCCGAATGAGCCATATTTTGTTCTTTAGAAATTCATTGACAAATCAGGGCTGTCATTTGATTAAATATTGTAATTGTATTAATTGCATGGCATGCCAATTAATTGGTATGCAATCAAGCAATCTGTGTTTTCTGTTTTTTTTTACATTATCTTGATATTCACGCCATATCTGTCACACAAAAAAACAATCAAGACACATTCTCTGAATGTGAAATCTTAATACCTCATTGTCATTTTGTGATTTTATATTTTATATATCACTATGTTGATTCCCAATATATCCCCAAATTTTACTAGCCTACTACTTAAGCACAATGTATTTTTATATAAAAGGGGAACGTGTGAAAGGTGACACAAAGATTCTTCAGAACAGTTTTTTCTGACCCTGATATTAAAATATAAATATAATCACGCGTCATCCTTCAGCAGCTTTTTAAAACCGAAGCCATAAACACATGCTGATAATCAGTGTCAGCATTAAATCTCATGCACACAGACACACATGCACTCGCACAGACGCACTGTGGAGACGGATGCTACGAGCATCAATCATCCTGACCTCCTTCTAACTTTTCCTCTGTCCTTGATTCACTACGCTCTTATGCAACACAGAATGTGCGCCTGCCGCCAAATGACATCTCACTGATGCCATGCGTGTGTTTGTTTGCGAGTTATTTTGAGCAGCAGCATCAATGCAGGACCGGTCAGTGTAGGAGGGTTAATAAGCCTCGAGACTTCAGAGCGTTCGCTTTTCTTCGGCAGAGATTTGTTCCTGCGCCAGTGGAGGGGGGAGCCGAGACATGTTGTGCTTTGGGATTCTTAGTACACATTGCATCAAACAGCGCTAACAGCAAACAGGATATGAAAGATGAAGTCTGAATGCGCCAAGACAAGCGGTGGGTGGCAACGTTGGGTCTGATGTGTGTCGCAAAGGCTTCGGGCCCTTTGTGTCATCGTGGCTGGGGAGCGAGCGTGTTATATAGGTGTTGAACCCCCTTGTGTGGCTGTTAGATTAAATCTTAACACAGAATGAAGGCAAAAGCTACGGGTGAAAGCAGTCTGAACAGGGAAACTTCGATTTAACTTTGTTAACGCTTGAGAGGACACTAATCAAAAAGATTAGATGCAAAATAAACGTGCTGGATCAAGCCGTTTCTCAATCATTTCTGTGATCACACAGCACTCGTATTTGTATTTTAACTTGGAAAACCCCCGAAAATGTGTCTTTATTTTGTGTTTTCTTCACTGTAAAACGTGATAACCTGCAATTGTTGGATTTAATAGCTATTCCTGACTGATTTAACCCATAAAATTGAATATGTTGGTATAAATTAATGTATTTAGATTGATTTGACTTGAATAAAAGCAGTTAACTTAGATTTAACTTTTCAGTGCATTAAAAAATATAGCTAAAAATCTTTTTTTGCTTATGCAGATTTTCTACATCATTTCTTAAAGATGAGGGAAGTTTGACGCCATTTCCTGACCAGATGGGATGCAACAAGTTTCCAGCAAGTTTTTCTGACCTCAATGAAAGCGGAAAGGCTGCGAAATGACAACATGAAATCCAGAAACTGTAGGGTAACCATTTGTCACTTTTTGACTCAAAAGCGCCACCTATGTGCCTTGTATTGAACTGCATTTAATAGTGGTCTATTATTTCCATTTTTGAGAGTATCCACTGAACGTAAATTGCGTATGCTGTTTTGTGTCAGCTGTGCCACGCGGATACGTTGTTTACGTCGTTTACGCTTTGATTTGAATGAAAACAACGTATCTGCGTGGCGCAGCTGACACAAAACAGCATACGCAATTTGCATTCAGCGGATACTCTACAAAATGGCGCTAGGGTGATGCGAAGGAGACGAATTGTTGAAAAAAAAGTCGTAATTTTTTTTTTCTTTTGCACTCAAAAAGCATTCTCGTAGCTTCATAAAATTACGGTTGAACCCCTGATGTCACATGGATTATTTTACCGATGTCC